TCCAAAACCAACATCTAGCAGTGAAATACAAAAGGTAGATCATGTGAACAGTATTTTTCTTTCCAATATGGAAAAAGACAAAGTATGAAAAATTGTGAATACATTTGAAAACAACCGACTCTGGCTTAGACATGATGCATCTGTAATTGAACTTTTTTACATACCTTTGCAACTTGTCACTAAAAACAGGAACCTTTTCCTGAAAAAATGAAAACAGCCAAAATTATGCCTCTTTACAGAAACAAACACAACTTCTCAAATTCTAGACCCGTGTCTTTGCTGCCACAGTTTTCAAAAATCTTGAAGTATATGCAATGTGGCTGGATAGCTTTTTACAAAAAGTAAATATGTTAATTCAAAATTAGTATGGCTTTAGGAAAAACACTCAACTGCTGTGGCAATAATGGAACTGACAGAGAAAATATGAAGATAAATATGTTGTAAGTATCTTACTAGACCTGCAAAAGGCTTTTGATGTCATTAACCACTCCAGATTACTTTGGAAACTCCAGAAAATGGAATCATAGGCTTTGGTCATACATGGATCTCTAGTTATCTAGAAAATTGTAAACAGTTACTGAAACATTACTCAATACTCGGACCAATATTGTTTGCATGAATGACTTTCCAAAAGTACAGTATCAACTATTGTGCTGTCCTCACGACACGTGACCATGTGAAGCTAGACAGCGAACGGGAAAGAAACTCTGTAGACAAGGCTTACTTTTCTTGTTTCATAGAGAATCTCTTGCGTATGGTTCATTGCATCTATAAATACAAAATAAAAAATCACCAAAATCACCGTAACTGAAATAACAGAAAAACTATCAACGGCTGTACACACGGAATTGCATACTGCGCTAGCTAATCAGATATAGCCCTAACTTAACACTTTGCATTAGAATAAAACACTTTTGTGGCCCTAACAATGTGCTTGTAAGTCTTTGTAAGTATTAAATAATACTTACAAAGACGAAAGTTTGCCAAGGCTCAACACATGAAACAAAAGATTGTTACAAAAACAAACCAAACAAGAGCGCTTACTCTGCTCGGACAGGGAACTGATGTTTTCAGAGAAGGGACACGTTGGTCCCTTCTCTGTTAAAGGACTTCTATCAGAGTGCCTCGGATTTCACCCTGTCTTCATTTTCCATGGAAAATGAAGACAGGGTGACAGGTTTCCTTTGTTTTTTAAATGTAACTTATTACATAGCATTTAAGAACAGGTTGTATTTATAAACAAACTTATAAATGATTGAATTATCAGGTGAGATTCAGACGGTTCATTCATACTGGTGTACCAGCATTAACTCTGTGCCCATTTCCATGACTCTTACTACTTGAAGAGTTGTGACAGTGAAGTCAAGGGAGGCACAGGAGAGAGAGTTTCATTGCTCTTCTCAAGCCATGTATGTTGTGAGCTCTTGTGAAGATGCTTATTAAACAATTTTCCTTTTGCATGCATGGTATACTGAAAGCCTAGCACCCAATCAATTGACATGGTGAGCTCAATCATGGTTCCCCACATTCACACATCACATATATCAGAGCATTCTGGTTGGTTGTTAGAATACCCTCCCATCGCCATCATTAGCATACAAACACTCAATCACAGATCTCTCTTTAATCATAAATATCTTTCTCTGATCTTTCTACAAGTTTTGACTGTGTCCCACTGCTGCATGTGAAAACCCCTCTGGCCATTAGGTGTGGACACAATAAAAACTTGTTTTAGTGCAGCACTCAGGACCACATGATAAGGCAGTCACACACCTAAGTGTCGCTCTTTCAGAGTTTGGGTGCAGTACCACTTGTTGCAGAAAAAAACAAAACACCAATACAATACAATTTATTCTAAATTCCCTAAATCACAACTGAAGTCATCTCAGAGGACTTAACAAAAACTACTGAGAATCACCAACACAGATCGGAGAATCAACAGTTAAAACACATAAAGAATATAGACCACATGCCCATACATGTTGTAGAATATTAAAGTGTCCTGGATCATCACCACAGTCCTTCTAGTTGCTCACTAACTGTGCAACAAACCATCCTGCATCAGCAAGGAAAAAACTCATATGAAATAAAAAGTGAGAAACCTCAGGGAGACCCATAGTTTGATAAGATAAGATAAGAATTCCTTTATTCGTCCCACAGTGGAGAAATTTCGATGTTGCATCGCACAGACAGGACAGTAGTAAGAGCACACAGGGAGCACACACAATATATACACTATATACAAATAAGTAGTAGCTATGTTTCTTAACTAACATAACTAGCTGTAGATGCTGAAAAAGCTTCAATACCAGTCAAAAAATATATATGTAGTAGTGCAGTTATATACTGTACAGTTAAATAGTGCAGGATAAAAAGTATACAAGTAAAGTGACATGAGGTAAAGCGACATTGTTCTGTGACATCCTGAAGTTGTAGTATTGCACATTGCACATGTGAAGAAGATGACATAGTCTGGGATCGCGTCTTAAATTCAGACAGAAGACATGTTTTATTGTCAATGGTAGAGACAGCACGAACACGAACACAGATACAATAGAATGCAAGTGTATTATACAGAGCGGAGGCATGGAGACCTCCAATCTAAAATATAATATTTTTCCAAATGGTGTCCATGCAAAAGAGGACGATGGTATTGTCCATGTCTCAGCAGCTCACAGCCTGACTGGAATCAGGGGCTGTGCAGATTGTCCATGTGCTGATCCAGATGCATTCACTTTTTGTGTAAAAAAAAAAGTCTTCTGTTCTCTAGATGTTACAGACAAGGCCCGCATCCTTCCACCACCTGAAGAAGATGTGCCAAGTCTGGGATCGCGTCTTTCATTCATACAGAAGACATGTTTTATTGTCAATGGTAGAGACAGCACGAACACGAACACAGATACAATAGAATGCAAGTGTATTATACAGAGCGGAGGCATGGAGACCTCCAATCAGCAGCTTCCACGGTGTGCTTGTAGCTTGGCCTTCAGATAGACAAAACAAGGGAAAAGTACTGGCTTCTGCACATTGATAGAATGATGAGTTTAACTTTAACAAAAGTTGTTTCAAAGTGTTATGACATTTCACACATGATTTATGAATTTACTTAATTACAGATGAATGAAATTTACAGGCTCAGCAGTTCTCACTCAGCAGCAGTAAGGGATCTGCTTCACACAAGTGTCACCTTTTGGAAAATAGGGTGCCATACCACCTTTTCACCACATGGTACTACATGTATCACCCTGATTGGACGTAGTAGGTCCATCCTCCCTAACCCCTTCATCATGATTCGCTGTTAGTACACCCTCCCATTAACATTGCAGGGATTGGCTAACACTGCTTGTCCCACCTTAGAATAAACAAAATAACATGGTGTAATCATGCACTGGTCTTACACAGAGCTCTATTCAATAATAAAACATCTTAAGATAAGACTGGCTCTATGCTTCAGTTAATCACTTACAGTACTCCTTAGATGTTAAACAGTGAAGCACCCATTGTTTTAGCTCACACACAGGGTCAACCAGAGGACAACTCATTAGATATTCAAAGTGCCATCTCTTGGAAAATAAGGTGCACTACCACCTTTTCACCACTTGCTCAATAGCGGTGTCCTTTATATCTACTCATATTATCGGAGGTAGTGACGCTTATTTCCGCCATTCAAATTTATGGGGGACCAACATGCACAATTTCAAAATGGCCACGAGCAGCCCCTACGGCAAGAGAATGTAAAAAAACGCATTTGCGCATGCGATAGCTGACAGGAGCCGGACACATGCCATTAATTTAACAAGTGGGAGAGGACAGGAAAAAGACACCAGACGAATTCATTGGAAAATTCTGTTTCCGGGTACGCCACCACTGGCAAGGAGTCAGATTTCATGCATGTCAGCCACACGCTCATGTGCCCTTTTGAGCCGAGACCACTGGACGAAACCTACATAGACACGGGGAGAACATGCAAACTCCACACAGAAAGGTCTGGAGGTTGAACGGAACCCAGGAGCTCCTTCATGTGAAGCACAAGTCTCAACATGATGTGATCAGATAAAAATATTGAATATATCAAAATTCAAAACAGTAGTATTGTGCACAATCTTCTTTGTAAAATTTTGTGGGAGGAGAATGATGCTGAGGACCTGTTTTCCTTCAGAGGAGATTGTAAAAATGTATACAAAAATTCTTTTAAAAAATCCTACAAAGAACGTTTCACAACAAAATCATATGTACGTGCTAACTCATTTTAGCCAATCAATGTAATTACTTGAGCAGTCTTCCTGAAAATGTAAGACAGGCTTCTTCTTTTACAATGTTCAAATCCAGGTTAAAAACAGGTATGTTTAGCTGGGCATACAACTGAGGGATTTTACCTTCACACTTTTTTATTACCTATGAATATTTATTTATTTAATACCTTCTGTGACTTTCTCTATATTTTGTTCAGCACTTTGAGCTGCCTTGTGTATGAATTTTGCTATACAAATAAACTTGCCATTATTATCACTATAGGCCTTTACCAATTTGTTGAGATGCAGTTTGATGGTAAAAGTGCCTAAAACCAAATGATAGAGATTCCCCATTGAGGTAGATTTCCATTCCAAGCATCCAGTAGATATAGTGACTCCAAAAGTTATCCACCAAATGGTTGAGGAAACCAAATGAGTGAGGAAACAACTAAAGGTTTAATGGAAGTTACATTTGGTCACTGTAACTGCCATGTAACCAAATGTATTGATCCTATTGCATTAGGTCTTCACTCCTATAAAAAGTCACACCTGGCTCTTCTAACGTCACGTCAAAGCCCTTTTCTTAATCACCAGCCTCTTCCTAATCGCTCGCTTGCTAAAATAATTGCAAACCCCGTCTATCCGCACACTCTCCCTCCAGCAGGGCCATATAAATAGAGCTCCTGCCCTCTGCGGTCCATGCTCACTCCTGCTCGCTCCCAGGCTGCCCGAGCTGCCAATCGCACGCCGGATTACCCAGACTGAAATATGCAGACCAACATGACAGAGGAAGCCCAAAATGGACATGGCAGCGACCCCATGGACACCATTTATAAAGTGGAACAGATCAACAATGAGGTATGGGAGGTGGAATCAATATAATAATACATACAGTGTTCAAATTCAGGTTAAAACAGTTCTGTATCACCGTGTATACAACTGAAGGGTTGTGTCTTCACTGTTTAATGTACTGGGATTATTTATGATTTTTATGCCTTAATTATGGTATTGTCTAGCACTTTGAGTTCCTTGTGTATGAACTGTGCTACACAAATAAGATGTCCTTGCCTTACATTCATGTTGCAATGTGATAGAAGGCAGATTTTTTCTTAAATAGTGGAAGTAGAAATGTGATTTGTTTCAATTTCTGTTTTTTTTTCTTCCTTTTTTTAAATACTGAAGCATATATAGTCAAAACCGTTTTTACTGTTTTTGGTTCATTTATTGTTTTAATGTATGTCTAAACCTTGTACAATATAGACTATTCCAAGGACAATGTATTTTAAATGATTAATATTACGGAATTTGTGACCCTTCTTTAGAAACATTAAAATGAATGAGCATACAGATTATGCATTGTAATCTGTTACACAAGGATTACACTGGGACTGACACAAAGCTGATTTAAGAGTGTCTAAAGTTTATTATTATGTCAGTAGACCACGTGCTGTTCCAATAGTTTGCAGTAACATCATGAGACTTGCGTTGTGTTTTTAGATTCGTAAACTCTCTGTCAATAATGAAATAAAGGACAAATGGAATGCCCCACCTAGAAGGGCGTCGAGCTCTGACAAAAGCGGCTCTACCATCTTGTTCTCGCTTAAAAATGAAGTTGGGGGACTTATTAAGGCACTAAAATTTTTCCAAGTAAGAATTAGATTAGTAATATTTGTGTAGTGATGTGTGGTCTAAATATCATTTTACAGTTTATTCAAATATGTATCATAATTTTGATTTCATTTGCAGGATAAGCACGTGAACCTGGTGCATATAGAGTCTCGTAAATCCAGAAGGAGGAATTCGGATTTTGAGATTTTTGTCGACTGTGATAGTGACCACGTTCAACTGAAAGAACTGACAAAACTTCTCAAAAGGCATGCAGAAATTGTGGACGTGTATCCATCCGAATCTACTCTGACTGAAGATGGTATGTTGCAATTTTACATTTTATTTTTTATATGTTTTTATGTGTTTATTTATGTATTCATTTATTTATTTATTTGTCCATATCAACATATCACATACATACATCATATATATTCTCTTCACATTCCAATGCTTTACTTATTTTGCTGGCTTTTGTATGGTTTGCCGCTCGGTAGTGCCTGAAGGGCCCTGGTTTCCAATAAAGATCAGCGACTTGGATCTCTGTGCAAATAGGGTCCTGATGTACGGCTCAGACTTGGACGCAGATCACCCGGTAAGTGAGAAGAATACATTTTTTTATTTTTTTTTAGATTATATTCAAATTGGTTTAAAGTTAAATTAAAATATATATATCATTTTATTTCACAGGGTTTCAAAGACGTCATATACCGTAAAAGGAGGAAATATTTTGCTGATTTAGCCATGAACTACAAACAGTGAGTATCAACATGGGGCACAGACCTTTTCAGTTGATTGATTATAATATAGGACTCCTTTATAATAGCATTTGTTTGTTCATATAATAATTTTTATCATCACATATAATTCCTCTTTGAAATTCAGAAAGACTGATATCTTTGACAGTAACTCTTTACTCAAACTAAAATGTTCTTTCATTGTACTGCTCTATCCTATCCAGATAGAATTTTTAGTATACATTAATGGCCAAATCACAATTTTTGGAATTAGCCAGAACCAGCTAGTGGATTATATTGCTTACACTGCAAAAAGTGATGAAAAAGTAGTCCCAAAAAAAATCCTCAAATTTGGCAAACTGTATCTAAATTTGTGCACATTTTGACTGCCCTAAAACAAAATTTTCCAATGGGACAAGGAAAATTGTGTTTTAATAAGATACAAGAAATATCTCACTTGGAATGAGAAGACAAAGCAACTACTCTTGATATAAGACTGGAAAATCTTGTTTTAAGACAGTCAGAATGTAATTTTTTATAGTGTAGACATTTTATAGTGTAGACATTTTTTATAGTGTCATAATGTTTTCACCATTGTTAATCACCACAATGATATTGAAGCTGGTATTTTATACGATACTCATAAAGAAGGCAGGGTAAAGTGAGCAGCTGATGTTGCCCTGCCTTCTGAAAAATCAAACTCACATCAGGGGGGCCTCTTTGCTGAGAACAGAGGCCACATTGAGTCTGGTAAATCTAAATAACCTTTGTGTTATCAGTGGGGAGCCTATTCCGCACATCGACTTCACAGACGAGGAGGTGCGCACCTGGGGAGTGGTGTTCAGCGCGCTCAATAAGCTCTACCCCACTCACGCCTGCCAGGAGTATCTGAAAAACCTGCCCCTGCTGACCAAACACTGCAACTACTCCGAGGACAACATACCACAGCTGGAGGACGTCTCGCAATTCCTCAAAGGTAATTGGAAAAATGTTATGGAAAAAATGGTAAATGGTAAAATGTGACAGCAGAAGCTTCCGTATGTATATATATGTATTTCAGTAAAAAAATAAAGCATGTTTTGGATCACCAGTAGTCACTCCCTTTGGCATAACCACAGACAGGATAATAGTCAGGCCAAAGGGTAGGAAAACTAAGCAGATGCTGGGAGAACATGCAAACGCCACACAGAAAGGCCTGGAGGTGGACTCAAACGCAGGACCTGCTTGCTGTGATCTGTACTGTGTTAATTATTCATCGCGTTCAGCATGTATTGTATGTGTAGCCTCAAAATGTAGATTTTTCTCATAAAATATACGAAAATTAATGCACTGATAATGTTCCAATGGAAATGTTTTTTCTTTGTATGTCATTTTTCATATGGGGTGCACTGTGGACTTTTGCAAATGTATTCCAATGTGGTTTTACTGCAAATGTCCAACAAAATGAATCTGATTTGAATGTTTAGCTAAATATGAAAGTAAATGTATAAACCGTATATAGAAAATAAGGCTTTTTGGTATACCATTTATGACTCCCTAAACATGTTGTGGTCCGTTTCTAACAGAGCATTCGGGCTTCATCATTCGGCCTGTGGCGGGGTACCTCTCACCCAGAGACTTTCTGGCAGGTCTGGCCTTCAGAGTCTTCCACTGCACACAGTACATCCGCCACAGCTCCGAGCCGCTCTACACCCCAGAGCCGTGAGTATCCAGCAGCAGACAGAGAGAGGCCGAGACATTTGGGGACACATCTTCAAACTATATAAGAATTGTTGGTGTTAATGTCTTGTTCTTATGAATATATACTAAAGACAAATGATTGAATAACACTAGATCTCCCAGAACACTCAATTTGACAGCTTTTCGTTTTGCAAGTGTAATTACTCCGACAGAGTAATTACACTGGAGACAGTTTCTGATTCGTTTTGTAGTATATTTCTATGTAATTATGTTTATGAAATTATCTCAACCCTAGACTGGTTCTAGAACGTTCCTAGACTGGTCCTGGACTGGTTCTAGGCTGGTTCTAGGCGGGTCCTGGACTGGTCTTGACTGGTTCAGACCAATCTTAGGTCGGAGAAATTTCTAGTTAGCAAAACACTGTTAACTTGCATCAGTTAGCATTTAGTTTTCTTGTACTTCAGATATATTCACCATATTTAGCATGTATTAAAACTGTATTAATGACTTTCTTTGAAACACTAAAACGTTTTTACATTTTTTTTATTTTTACGGGAGCCGTCAAATTGACTGCTCTGGGCACCCTAGTGTTAAATTATTATTGATGATTGTATTTTTACAGTAAGTTATGTTATGTTTATAGAGAAAACTGGCACTTTTTTAAACAGGCCAGTGGAAAGCATAGGCCTCTGTGTCTTAAGGCTAAGGTTACTGTTATCCTGAACTCCTGCATGTCACATCGTTTGGATGAACACTTGAAATAACCACAATGCACCTACAGTGTGAAGTAATTAGTGTGATTGTGAATTGCAGAGACACCTGCCATGAGCTGCTGGGACACGTGCCTCTGCTGGCTGAGCCCAGCTTTGCTCAGTTCTCTCAGGAGATCGGACTGGCTTCTCTGGGGGCCTGTGATGACGCTGTGCAGAAACTGGCCACTGTGAGAGAAAACACAAACAACATCAGAGATTACTTTTATTTCCATCTAATTTGATCCTCTTCATCCGGGTTCGGGTCGTGAAGGCAGTGTAGTACAAATATACCATAAAACATTACACATTAATGCACTTAGGTAAGAAAGCACATAAAATATGGAAGACTTAGAACGGGGCTCAATAGTATAAAGTAATGCCCTGGGAATGCTTAGACTTCCCAAGGCATTCCCAGGAAGTCAAGAGACACACTCCCACCACAGTTTGTTTTTGTGCTGCGCTCCATGCTTCATCTTTTCTCAGAGGCATTGACCAAACAAATGTGTGTTGTAAGAACTTTTGTTGATTTTATATCAATAATCCTGATCATTGTTTCTGGACATGGAGAATGGAGCAGAGGTGCCTGCACTGCCTGCACATGTGGATTTTATTTGTGGAGGTGTAAAGGCCTCCTGGATGTTTATTTATTTTATTTTTATTTATTTATTTATTTGAAAAGGAGGGACAATACATATTAATGAACATTTTCACAAATGTAAATATGCCAGATTATAGCCTTAGGCTAATTTCCATCTGCAGACCCCCTGGCAGGTTGGTGTTAAGCATAGGTTAGTAAAAACATACAGAGACACTATATACAGACTATGTACAGAGAGACAAGGACAAGTACAGTGATCACTTGTTAGAACAAACAATAAAAAGGATGTGCCTCAATTTATTCCTGTACAGCCCTAAATCACAACAGTAGTTATCTCGGAGTACTTAATAAAACCGCTGAATTCGCCAACACGGATCAGAAAATCAACCAATTAAAACACAAGAAATGCAATGATAAAAAACACATAGAGCCATTGTTCCATAAGGGGCAGATGACAAATACATCCATAAATGTTGTTGAATATTGAGTGTCCTGGATCATCACCGCCCACTATGGCTTAAAGCCCTTTGCATACTTTTAAAACCAACAAAAATGTCTCATTGACAAAGCCATTCATAAACTAGTACCATAGTTGATAGAGACAAAAACTAAACATGTGTCAAAATATATACGTGTATCAATATCAGAGCAGGCTTGTCCATGAAAATATAATTTGAAACGTTTCGCTTGTCTCTTGTGTTGCAGTGCTACTTCTTCACTGTGGAATTTGGTCTGTGTAAACAGAATGGTGGGCTCAGGGCTTATGGAGCTGGACTCCTCTCCTCGGGCAGTGAGCTTAAGGTATAAAGGCTTAAGGCTAAATATTAAAGTGTATGCCATATTCTCTAATCTTGGCTAATTTAGAATGTATGGTGCCAGGCTTTTCTTCCTACGTCTCACAGTTGACTTACCTTTCAGTCCTTTTTCATCTGTTTTCCTTTCTATAGCTGCTTAAACAACACTAACATACATGTTATAGCCCTGGCACTGTAGTTGTAATGCGTCTAAGATTGAAGGTCAGTTACTTGTGAAGATGGAAAGTGGTTTTTCAAATGCAAGCACCAGTTAGACCCGCCCCCACAGCTTCCTGATTGGACCCAATTAAATGAATCTCTTGATAGACAGCTGAAAGCCCCTCACCATTGGTCTATTCTCCTCCAGCAAATCTCAATGATGATGCTTATTCCATGGAGAGGGACTGTTTTGGAAATATTTATAATAAAAAACACGTCATGTACTGTAGAGTTGTATGGTTAAAAAAACATATTCTTTTCAAAAATGAAATATAATTGAAGTTGCAAACCATTGCCATTGGTAATCAAATCATGTTTCTCCCCCAGCATGCTTTGTCTGACCAGGCCAACATCCTCCCGTTCGACCCCGCAGTGACCTGTAATCAGGAGTGCAAGATAACCACATTCCAAGATGTCTACTTTGTTTCAGAGAGCTTTGAGGAGGCAAAAGACAAAATGAGGTCAGCATAACCTCTTGAAGTTATAAGTACATTTAATCTACATACAGACACAACCTTGCACAGCTGACTGTCTCGTATGCTTTCAGGGAGTTTGCTAAGACCATTCGCCGGCCCTTCTCACTGCGGTACAACCCGTATACCCAGAGCGTGGATGTGCTCAAAGACACAAGCAGCATCAACAGCATGGTGAAGGATATCCGGCACGAGCTGGATATTGTGGAGGACGCTTTGAACAGACTGAACAAGCATCTGAGGGCGTGAGGAAGGGAGCTGGGGAAGCCTTGGATCTCATGTTAGAGTAATATGGAACAAATGTATGGGGCAAATGCAAGTATGGTGTCCCAGTGGTTCTCAATCATTTCACACAAAATAAAGCCAAAGAAAAGTCTCCTGAGCACCATCGTATTTGAATATTTGGGATCATAAAAACCACCATATCTAGCGCTATTGTAAACCTGTTTTAGAAATTTCAAGATTCAAGATATAAGAATTTATTTGACTGCAAAAGGCAAATAAATTCTTGAATATCTAAAACAGGATCACAATAGCCCTAAACCCAACTTTTTGTTGGATTTGTTTTAGTTTAATTCAATTACCAATGTAGAAAGAGTGAATTGAAAGAGTCCCGTTAAACAAATTAGACCACATTCAATATTTTACATCCTGAGAGCTGATTGGCTCAGTGAGGGCTCTTTTTCAATGGAAAAGTTGTTCTTAAGATGTGACAGAGGCCACACTGCAAAAACTGATAAAATATGAGGTAATAATTACTTGAATCAAGTGGTTTTTATCTTAATTTGAGCACATTCTGACTGTCTTAAAATAATATTTGCCAATGGGACAAAGCCATTTAGTCTTAATTCAAGAACTATTGCTTTACTACTGAAACGTCCCCACTGAGGTACGAATAAATAATCTCTTAATCTTAATATTTATTTTCTTATTCCAATGGAGACATTTCTTGCATCTTTTTGAAACAAGATAATTTTGCTTTTCCCATTGGCAAATCATGTTTTAAGGGAGTCAAAATGTGCTCAAATTAAGATACATTTTGCCAAATTTCAGCTATTTCTTTTTGCAGTGTATGTGAAAACCAGTCTAGTATTGAAAGAGAGGAACTAGTTACTGTACATGGATTTTATTATTATTCAGTGGAATGGATCTAAGTTTTCTCTGAAATGTGATGAGAAATAGACGTTTTAAGACATTGATGTTATAAGTGGACTACTAAAAACTAAATCACTTGGAGAGCGCATACCCCGCCAGGGCCATGGATCATCCCGGTCATACCATCACTTCTTCCTTTCGTACAATCTACATTAAAATTCAGCTCAATCCGTCCTGTAGTTTTTGCCCAATCCTGCCTCCATACAGATAAGACAGACACACACACAGAGGCAATCACAATTTTTCATTTTTGGGGTAACAAATTAAATAATATTGAAAATAAATGTCGGGCAACATTTGTGAGAAGCCACCGCAGTCATAAAGTATTCTGACTTGCACCTATTATTCAGAATTATAGCAGAATTCAATTATCATTTATCACATGCAGGACAATTCATCACACACATCTTTTTTTTCTGTTAACATATAATATATACAGGTTAGTTGTTGTAATGGTCATGCTAGTTGGTCGTCAGTCTTAAAAGTTTGTCAAGCAATGTAAATATATCACCAAATGCGACATTAGCGAATGCAGAGCCACCTGTTGTTGTTGTTTTTATTACTATTATTATTAACTTGTCCTTGAAATGTTCATTGTTGGAACTTTTATTTTCTTGAGTGTTCCATGGCAAGACTCTTCTTATCCCTTTGTTAATTGGATAGAGGCTTTACTGATGATGCCAATCCTGTTGCTTGCATTAAGACTTATACCTGAAGTGACCCACATTACCCTGTGTGTGTTTGTTATGGCCTTGCAGTAATAAAATGCTGTTCTTTCTAATCGTAACTGTGAGTTTGTCATTGTTGGGTGAGAATATGTTCCTTTATACAGTACTTACATTTTTTCTTCTTTTAATTTCTCTATATGCTAAGGGACCACAAGGACTGGAATTAAAAGCCTTGGAAAGAAAAAAAATGTGTGTATGGGGAAAACAGATTTAAGCCTAATATATTTTCTAGCTATTGATGAATACATAAAGCCGCTAGCAATAGAGAGTAAATTATTGAGTCAATATTGCAGGAGATTAAGCTCACTCGCTGTGGTGATTTGACCTAGACTGATTTGTTATCAAGAAGGTCACATTTTTGCACTGTTGTCATACTGTATGTCTGCATTGAAGGTTGTGGTAATCCTCACATCGCAACTACAGCTTCAGAATGAGACTCGATGAAACATGTCTTTATATCTGTGTAGCTCAGTATAGATAGTTGCAGTGACATTAAAATGGCTGGTTTGGGGTCCGTGAACATCATTGATTTTTTTTCCCTAACTATTTATTTATTTATTTCATTTGTTTTTTCATATGAACAGTATTGATGCTGCAAAAAAGACGTGAGCTGTAGTTAATGCTAATGAGTACCACCACCCCCAAAACTAAATTACAAACAAACATACTACAATAAATAGTACAATAAACCATAACTGTACATCCTGAATTATAGAATAATCAACCATTTGAACAGAAACCATTTGCTTGTCTAACTGACCAGAGAGAGACCAGAGAGCGAGACCAAAGAGAGACCAGAGAGAGAGACCAAAGAGAGACAAGAGAGAGAGACAAGAGTGAGAGAGACCAGAGAGAGAGACAAGAGAGAGACCAGAGAGAGACCAGAGAGAGAGACAAGAGAGAGACCAGAGAGAGACCAGAGAGAGACCAGAGAGAGAGACCAGAGAGAGACCAGAGAAAGACCAGAGAGAGACCAGAGAGAGACCAGAGAGAGACCAGAGAGAGACCAGAGAGAGACCAGAGAGAGAGACCAGAGAGAGACCAGAGAGAGAGACAAGAGACAGACCAGAGAGAGACCAGAGAGAGAGACAAGAGAGAGACCAGAGACAGACCAGAGAGAGACCAGAAAAAAGTTACCTGGATTTCATTATATTGTTTAGTTAGGTACTCAGCTTTACTCAAAAATTCAGCAGTCTCCATCAACACTTTTGTTAAGCTTGTTGCAACATAACAACAAAGACCAACAGTTTCACCAACATGATGTTTCTCACACAGAAAAGACGAATACAAACTCTCCAGCTCTTACAGGAATAATTTAATTAGTTTTTTTCCGAAGATCTTGTACTCGTGCATCTTTCCCTAAGCACTTTATTGTGAAACATTCTGTGGAAAAGACCATCCAGAGCGTCCAGCACCTTGACTCCAGCTCAGAGGCAGAGGAGGGGGTGGAGTTGGGTGTTGCCTCTGCTGTGTATCTCTGAGATCCAGCGACCGCCTGAGTGAAGATTGAAGCACGCTGCCTGGGCCTGTTCCTATCGCCGCGTCCCGTTAATCTCTGCAGAATAAACCTCTTCTCTACCACCATGGGAGTCGAAGGCTGCACCAAATGCGTCAAATATCTGCTCTTACCAAACTCCAAACTTTCATCTCAAACAAGGAGAAGACTGATCAGGGATGCAGCCAAGAGGCCCATGATCACTCTGGATGAACTGCAGATAACGACAGCTGAGGTGGGAGAGTCTGTCCATAGGACAACAATTAGTCGTGCACTGCACAAATCTGGCCTTTATGGAAGAGTGGCAAGAAGAAAGCCATTTCTCAAAGATATCCATAAAAAGTCTCGTTTAAAGTTTGCCACAAGCCACCTGGGAGACACACCAAACATGTGGAAGAAGGTGCTCTGGTCAGATGAAACCAAAATTGAACTTTTTGGCCACAACGCAAAACGATATGTTTGGCGTAAAAGCAACACACCTCATCACCCTGAACACACCATCCCCACTGTCAAACATGGTGGTGGCAGCATTTTGGCTTGGGCCTGCTTTTCTTCAGCAGGGACAGGGAAGATGGCTAAAATTGATGGGAAGATGGATGGAGCCAAATACAGGACCATTCTGGAAGAAAACCTGTTGGAGTCTGCAAAAGACCTGAGACTGGGATGGAGATTTATCTTCCAACAGGACAATGATCCAAAACATAAAGCCAAATCTACAATGGAATGGTTCACAAATAGACATATCCAGGTGTTAGAATGGCCAAGTCAAAGTCCAGACCTGAATCCAATTGAGAATCTGTGGAAAGAGCTGAAGACTGCTGTTCACAAACGCTCTCCATCCAACCTCACTGAGCTCGAGCTGTTTTGCAAGGGATAATGGGCAAGAATTTCAGTCTCGATGTGCAAAACTGATAGAGACATACCCCAAGCGACTTGCAGCTGTAATTGCATTAAAAGGTGGCGCACTTTTCAGTTTTTTATTTGTTAAAAAAGTTTAAATTATCCAATAAATTTCATTCCACTTCACGATTGTGTCCCACTTGTTGTTGATTCATGACAAAAAATTAAAATGTTATATCTTTATGTTTGAAGCCTGAAATGTGGCGAAATGTTGAAAGGTTCAAGGAGGGCGAATACTTTCGCAAGGCACTGTAGTAACTAGTTATGGAATCAAACTGTTTTGTGACTTGTTCGATGGGGTTTAAAATTAGGTAGCTCTTCTTTAAAGTGTCCATAACTGATACTTCTGAGTGGTGTGACGTCTTTTTTAACGTCATGGAGCCACCGTTTACAATTACGGGAAGTAAAGCAGAGATTATATCACTCTATGGTTATGTTACAGTAAGAAGAGCACGAGCCCACAAGTAAGTAATCTTTATTTAAATAGCACCTTTCACAGACAGAGTCAAAATGTGCTTTACAATTGTTGTGGGCCTTTTCTCTTTACTACACACAAGAAGAAGAGCAGCACTGACATTTGCCCTTTGGAATTACCTAACATTTCTCTTATCTTTAGGTTAACTTTAGGTTTAACCTTAATGGCTATTAATTTAATGAGGCATTTTTTTATGTTGATATATATATATATATATATAAAAAATACTGCTTAATTATTTGGAGACACGTCACCAGGAATATAAGGGCTGAGAATCGTTTTCTATAAGGGCGGAAGTTTGTCCAGGAACCAGAGTATGGAAATTAATATTTTAGAATTTTACTTAAAAAAAACATATCTGAAGAATCATTAGGATAGGACACCAATGTGTCTTTATTCAAGGCAGGAGTCAACCTCACCACTTTGCCGCTTTAACAATTGCAAAATAGACCATACCAAACGTTGTCTCCTCCGATACAAACTTCTACATTGGTGACCACACATGAGCATGTCAACCCTTCGACTGCTCCCACTGTCTTTGTGACACCTTTAGGACCTCCAGAATCAGCCATGCTGCTTGGCAAATGGCGGCTGCGGGCGCCTTCCTCCATGATTTTTGCTACACCACGGCCATCTCAACCAATGGCCATCACAACTGCATGAGTCTCCCCGCTCCCCAGAGATACCTTTTCTGCTGCACAATGAGCAGCATGACACGGCTAGATAAAGAGCTGCTCTTCAATGGTAGAAGGAGTTCCTCCACTATTCAACAAAATGTGCAAGCTTTTAGTGATGTCTTTATTCAACTGGTTCAGTTGACCCCTGTTATTACCTCAAACAAACTCTGCGGAACCATCTCCTACATTTTTTCATTCCTTATTTTGCAGAAAAACATGACTCATGAACATGACTACTTTATTTCAATCTATGACGTAACCAGCACTATCATCACCTCAATCAACTTTTGTGTTTGTGTTCCAGCTTGCCGGAGTTGTGATCCTGGGTGTGGCCGTTAGGTGGAGGCAGGTCCTGAATGCTCAGATTGCCCTGCTGGACAGCCAGCAGGAGGAAGTGGAGGCCCTTGACATGTTCTACATCTGTATGTATTACATACACGCATTCTACAACTGTGCTAGAGGTGTAAAATACTGAATGTCAAAAAAATATATTATATTGAATGTTATGTGCTCTTTGTTCCTACTGTTCTGTAACTTGTGATGACAGACATTTCCCCTCATGTGGGACAAATAAAGGATCTCTTAATTTGCTAAGATCTCTGCACTGGCTTCCTGGTGTTTAAAAAAAGGCCTTGTATTGTACTTTGTACATTGCACTTTGAGTTGTCTTGTGTATGAACTGTGCTATTCAAATATACTTCCCTGAATTCAGACATAACAACCACAATGTTTTGAATTTTTTTTTATTTATTAACCGCATGTACTAACAGATCATAGTTTCCACAAAATGCCTTGCTACTTCTACCAAACCTTACTATGGGCTGAGTGCGTGGAAATAAAACATTAACTTGCGTCTTGTGAAATAATAACTACTAAAACCCACTGCTCTGGTTTAATCAGTGCAGAACCATGAACACTGTGCTACGGCAACATTTATTGAAAAAAAGCAAGAAAAATAACAATTGTAAAGCACAATTGCTTAGACTTTTTTGGTTATGGTGTTAAAACGAGTTCATTTCTAATACCATAACTAGGCAATAATTAACTCATGTTGCAATACATTAACATATCCCACAATTATAAAAATATTGTTTTTGTTTTTTTCTTTTTCCTGTTATAGTCTTCTGTTGAATTCATTAATGTTATTGTAATGTAAAAAAAATACATGATATTCATTATTGATATTCATTGCAAATTCATTCAAATCTAATTTGGTCTTTTTACCCCCAGGCCTGATAGCTTCTGGAGCTGTGATGATGGTAGTCAGTTTCCTCGGATGTTACGCCGTTCTCCAGGAGTCCCAATGTTTTTTGGGAACTGTGAGTTTTGCATAATTTTCCTTTAAAGTTATTTTGTGACAAAAGGTGACAGCCGCAGTGTTTGCTGCAGTTCTTGGCCTGCCTGGTCCTCCTGTTTGCCTGTGGTGTCGCCGCTGGAATTTGGGGCTACATGAATAAAGACGAGGTAAGGCTTCAAACCTGTTTGACACAAGGTTGCCGTTCATGAAATAACTGGCTTTGTCCCATTGGCAAAACTTTTTTTAAGACAGTCAGAATTTACTTAAATTAAAATAGTAAAAACACTCAATTCAAGCAATCATCACCTTATATTTTGTAATTTTTTTTTGTGTTTGAGCGCATTGTCATTTCGCCACAAGAAACGGCTTTTATCCCCACCGCTGTCAGACTGTACAATAAGTCACTTTAAATGATCACTGTGTGAAACCTGCACTACTATTGACACTGTTTCCAATTGACACTTGTCACTTTTGTTGTACATAATTATTGTCACTTTATTGTACATATATCCTGCATGTAACATGTTTGCACATTTCCTCCTTTTGCACAATCTGAGTGTTCTATCCATGCCAAATGTGACATGTAAATTTCTCCTATGTGAGATAAATAAAGAATCTTATCTTATCTTAAAGACTGTTTTTTATATCCTTCTACAATCTTATAGAACAATCAAAAAGCAAAGATTATTAATTCGAAATAATGCCTCACACTTGTAATGCAATTATTTGTTCATTGATGGTTTTCCTTGTACCGATTTGTAGTTGTTGAGGGAGACGACCAACTTCTACTGTATGACTCCATCTACGACCGGGTCATGAAAGCGGACTTCTACGATCAGGGCTGGAAGACCCATGCCAGGGCTCTCAAGCTCCTCCACCAAACGGTACATTCTGATAACATGCTGTGAATTCATGTCTTACATTCACAAATTCCAATCCCCTGACACACTGTGATGCCTTTGGCTGGTAAGACATATTTAATGTGTATTTTCTTTTGTGTTCCAGCTCCAATGCTGTGGTAAAGGTGGTACAGATCTGTTTACAATATTATCTCAAGCTGCAGTCATTAGTGAGGTCTGCCCCAATACTTTTTTCACAGTCGTAAGTATGTAGTTATTTACAGTATCTGACTATGACACTACTTACAACCCTTCACATTAAAACTTGAATTTGTTTTTCAAAAGCAGACCAGTACAAAATAGTAATACTAACAAGTTAATGAGTGGTTTTACTTTACACCAGCCAAAGTACATTTGTTTTGTATTTACAGAGCTGCCATGATAGAATCAATGAATTGGTCTTGGAAAGGTTTTATCCCATTGGAATTTTTGCACTCGTAATTGCTGCCATCATGGTAAGTCGGGGGACAATTTGTCACTATATTTTTGCTTTTGAACGATACAGTCTATTTCTGTCCCTCAGATCTTTGGGATGATCTTCAGTATGGTGCTGTGTTGTGGGATCCGAAAAAGCCAGTTCTACTAAAAACCAAAGTGCAAGTGTATTTATAAAATGACAAATGGTTATACTATAACCATATGTGTAAATTAACAGATAAAACTTGGTTACTTTACTTTCATTGTCCTCTACTGCCAGGAAATTCTTTCATGCTTCAATTCTCAAGCTTAGCATTACTAATGAATCCAGAGCATTAATGTCAGCTGCTGGGAAGTGTAGAAAACAAAAACAGTTATTAATCCTTGATCAGGTTTTGTACTTTGTGAACATCCAAGTGACTGTGGTAATGTGTATTGAATGTTGTTGTCTGTCTAAAAGTTAGTTGTGGCCATATCTGTCCTGGATATGTCCTTGAACTTACAGTTAAGTGTCTTGTAATATTTACAGCTCTGAAGTATTGTACTCATGAAGATCATGAAGGCTGTAGAGAACCCTATTATCTGCCTTTTCTCTTTGTATTGTGGTATCTGTGTCTGGTGATGTGTTAAAGGGGTCTGCAGAAGGAGGGGATTAGTGGCAGTATGTGGTTAGTGTATGAAGGGATAGTCTCATGAGCCTCACTTTTATATTCATTTCATACCCCATTGTTCAACACTTTTCTTTTTATTTGACAAATAAAGATGGAAAAACTGGCCCACATCTCTTAAGGATCTATTACCTTGAATACTTATCTTTTAAAGACAAATTACAAACAGTACATTTGGCTTCTATTGGTGCAAAAACCGCAGCTATGAGAAGTAAATATTGCTGTGAATTGACCTAGACTTATTTGTTTTCTGACTGACTCATGTATTTGCATTTACGTTGTGGTAACCGTCACATCAAATACAGCTTCCAGAATGACTCTTGTTCAATGAAACATGTCTTCAATTTGCCAAATCCAATATGCAACAATGTGTAGCTGAGCAAGTTGTTGCAGTGATTTTAAAATGGCTGGTTTGGGGTCCGTTCACATCATCATCTTGCCTGCCACACAGAACAATAGCTGCAGGTGGTGGTGGAGGGCTGGTAGCCACATGTGTTAGATGACTTAACCAAAAATGCTGCAGTCTCCAGTGCTACTTGTGGTAAGCTCATTACCACATAACACCAAAGGCCAACAGCTTCACCAACATGATGAATGTTTCCTGTTACTCACACAGGAAAGATGATTACATACTAGACAGTCCGTTTAACTAGCACTATGAACTACACTTTCTGACTTCAATTGTACCCTATAGAGTCTAAAACAGAAAAAAAATAACCCATTAAAACTCAAAATGATTTGGAAGATAGTAGGTTGAAGGTATATAAATTATAAATTCATATAATTCAATTTAAACTTTCCACTATTTACAATGTCTTACTTTCACTTTATATGTGACTACACAACATGTTTGAACCTCAAAGAAGCAGTGGAAAGTGAAAGTGAAAAAAAAAAGCCTATGCATAAATAAATAAATAAAATGTCTCCACACTTGGCCATCAGTCTCACACTAGATCCATGGTCTCACAGCGGTGGCAGTACTGTTCTTCTCTTTTGCAGAGATAATCCACCCACCTCACAAGTGTGGCATGATCTCCGTTAGGGTGTTCAGAGGAAAAACAAATGAAGCAGTTAACAGTCTTGTGCTCTTGTGTGGAGCTGAGAAAGCCATGGTGCGTACTTTTATTGTGAAACATCCCATGGAAAAGGCAGTGTTCCCGGTTTTCCCTGCGCGCCTTGACTCCATGGATTATTATGACTCCAGCTCAGGGGCAGAGGAGGGGGCGGAGTTGGGTGTTGCCTCTGCTGTGTATCTCTGAGATCCAGTGATCACTTTGGAGTGAAGATTGAAGCACGCTGCCTGGGCCTGTTCCTACCGCCGCGTCCCGTCAATCTCCGCATTTCTCCAGAATAACCTCTCCTCCACCGCGCGCATCACCATGGGAGTCGAAGGCTGCACCAAATGCGTCAAATACCTGCTCTTCTTTTTCAACTTCATCTTTTGGGTAAGGCAAAAATCCAAATACTCTCTCTCTCTGTCTCTGCAACCACATCGCTGCCCTGTTTTCGGACCATGCCAAGAGCGATTGTAGAGGTGGATTTGGGCGCCGAGGATAAATACGTAGATACGTAGACCAAACGGCGCAATGCGTACCTGATACTTGCGTTATGTTTATGCTGCTTTATTTCAACGTTATACATAAAGCGTATAATGATGCGTCTCGTTCATTTGTATCAACGCGCTGTTATCAAGCTGGCTGCTCTGACAACGCGGTAAAATCAAGTGAATGAAGTCAAATATTCACACACAACAGAAACGTACATATTTATACGGTATAATCTGCATGTTATTTTCCATTACGCCAATTTACGCTCCTTTCAATTTAATCACCACATTGAAAATACAGTGTCTCTGTGTGTGTGTATTTAATGCCTGGTTTAAAGTGACGCTCGCTTAGGTTTTGATTGAGGATTTGGGTAATTAATAGTTACCTATGTAACTTAAGTTCTACGAATAGGTGCGTAGTCCCTTAGGACTTCGCTAGTGGGATATCACGTGACCCCCAGGTCACAGACGCCAGAGAGATCAAATAATTTGCTCCAATCACCAGCCACCTTCCTCTATAAATGCCCCTGCACAAGGCCGCACCCCCTCTTGAACTCTGCCAAGCCGGGCTGGCCTGATGGGCTCGTAGCTAAGGGACTACGCACCTATTCGTAGAACTTAAGTTACATAGGTAACTATTAATTCTACGTCATGGTGCTACGTCCCTTAGGACTTCGCTAGTGGGACACAACGCGGAGGCCGTAGGAACATGTACTCCCAGCAGGCCAGCGAAGGGTGATTGGAGCTCCGCCCGAGCAAGACCCTCACACCGTGAGAGGACTCAGGGCAGAAGAAACAAAGCGTGTTACCGGGCCACTCCTACCAAGGACGCCCCCACGTAACACCAATCGTAGGTCAACCGTAGTCACAGGACGCCTCTCCCAAGAGCTCCTGATGTAGACTACCAGACCGATCAAACACACATACATGTACCGCACCTGTAGGATGCCTCTCCCAAGAGCTCCTGCACCAGGGCGGAAAAATAGACCGAAGGCCCACTCCTCAGGGGAGGGACCCAACGGTCCAACTCAATCCGCTGCACTCAGCACGGAATGGGCCACCGACCGGTCCGACACATCCGAAAGATAAGACCGGACGAAAGAGGAGGACGACGCCCAAGAAGCCGCACGGCAAACGTCCTCGACCGACGCCCCCCTGAGAAGGGCCGTAGAGGCCGCCATCCCACGCGTGGAATGCGACCTGAAACCCACCGGGGGGGCCAGGCCCTGCGCCTGATACGCCCGTCGCACCGCCGTGGCGACCCAATGCGCCAGCCGCTGAGCCGACAGCGGGGCGCCCCTGTTCTTGGGGCCCAGACACACAAACAGCTGATCACCCGACCTGAATGACGACGTCATGGCCAGGTAATGCCTCAGCATTCTGATAGGACACAGAAGGTGCTGCCGCTCCTCCTCGGGGAAGGCATGCGGCGGCGGGTGGAAAGCCCTAATCCTGATCACTCTCGACCTAAAGGCCGCCGTGATGACCTTGGGGAGAAAAGCCGGATTGGGCCACAACTCCACCATGCCGTCGTCCTCTCCAAAGGACAGGCACGACGCATGGACTGAGAGCGCACACAAATCGCCCGCCCTTTTTGCAGACGCCAACGCCAGCAAGAGGGCCGTCTTAAAAGCGATACAATCGGGACTCGCCTCCGCCGCCGGTTCAAAAGGCGAACCCGACAGCCCCCTAAGGACCACCCTGAGGTCCCAAACCGGAGGCGTTCTCTGGAGCGGGGGCCTCCTCCTGCGCGCCCCCCGCAGAAAACGTTTAATCAACGGGTGAGAGCGGGCTGTGAACCCCCCGAACCCGTCGTGACCTGAAGTAATGGCTGCCGCAAACACCGCCAAGGTAGCGACAGCCCTCCCCTTGTCGAAAAGCTCCTGTAGGAATCCCAGGACCCCCTCCAGCGGGCAAAACCTGGGATCCCAGGAACGGGAATCGCACCAAGCACTGAATAGCCTCCACCTCGTGGCGTAGGCCCTCACGGTGGACGGCGCCCTCGCTCCCTGAATTGTCTCCACCACCGCAGGGGGAAGACCCAGATCTACGAGGCTCCGCCTCTCAACCTCCAAACCCAGAGCCTGCGGCCGATTATCGGACGTGAAAACAGGGCTCCTGCCCCCTGGACTAGAGCCCCCGGCTCGTCCGGGAGGGCCCAGGGCTCCATCACCGCCATGCCCCTGTAGTCAATAATTCCCTTTGACTGACGTGTCCAAAGTCGATGCAAGAGCGAGACAAGAGATCTTCTCGTTTAACATCTGCATTTAATTATCTTTACAATCAGGTACAGAATATTCAACAAAAAAGTGCTCCTAAAACTAATATGTCCCTTTCTCTGTCCCTCGGTTGATCCTTCTGTGTCTCCCCAAGCCAGCGCATATATAAAGAACAGGAAGGAGGGGAGTGTCCTATCAGCCAGCTTCCGGTCTAGGGTCCAGCCTTTTCCTCGTCTGCCAGACTCCTGATGGTGTGAGGTTGAAAAGTGCAGAAGTCAGCAGGCCAAGACTAGGGGGTTGAAATACAAACAGCAGAATTCCATCTGTTGTCCAGTTGCTGGCACAAGAAGACACCTAAAATAAAATAAGAAGGACTGGCCTCCCACTTAGAGGTCAGCTAGGTCATAAAACACATGGTTTTAGAATGTCACGTATTTATAAATACAACAGTTTCCCTCTTTTGACCTGATTAAAATTAGGTCACAATCCACATCGTCGTTTATCATCAATACTTGTGCTTAGTTCCAGCTTGATATCTGTGAAGAGTTAACACAGAGAAAACAAACAACACACAACAAACCACATTTTTACCATTCCTTCAATACTATTTGATCACCAGTGCTGTGTCATTCTCAGTGGCTTTGTGCCATTTTGTGGGGCTTTGCTCATTTTTCCAAACACATTTTGTTGAACCAGGAAGTGCTGTCACTTCCTTCTCTCAGACCGTTTGGGATAAATGTACATCGTTAATCAAATTGGTATTATCCGTACAGGAGCTAATCTATTTTAGCAGGTTTCTCCGGGGTTAGTCCCTATACAACGGTATTTTGATTCTCTAATCTGTTGCTGACAAATCGACAGCTCTTAAAATTCTCAAAACTACCTAAAGATCTACTTTTGTGCTATACCCGAATTCATTAAAATGCTTTCAAATGTTTTTGAATCTGTGTTGGTTCTAATCGATCTCATTAATCTATCTCATTAGCTTTTTGCATTGTCAACATTCACCTATGTTTGAAACAAGTGAATTTGACAGTATCTAATAAAACTGTGCATAAACTGTAATGAACTTTATCTACCTTTGAAGTAAATACTTTTGGACATAATATGAAGGAAATGGTCCTTTTACCGCTTGATATTAGCCCTGTCTAAAAGTAATCTCTATTTTTGAAAGCATCTATCTATTTTATACTCTATTGTGACTCCAAATCTTGGTAGTAGTTTGAGCCAAAGCCTATTCCCAATTTGTGAGTTCTGATTGTAACAATAGCATTGGCAATAGACGATTTTTTATTGGCTGGTTCTTGTTCTGCAAATCACTATTCTATGTATTGTATTTCAGACAATTCCAAAAACAACACAGTCGTTCTCCAATATTAAAGACATACATCTAAATCAAGTTGCCTGAAAGGGATTTTAACTATTTTAAAACGTTTTCCACGATTATAAGGCTATGAAATTAATTATTTTAATAAACAAAAGCACATTCATGGCTTCTGTCCGCTGCTTATAACTGTTTAAAGAGTTGTCCCAAACTTAATATGTGTGAATACATCAGCTGTTTGTAATAAACAATAACATTTAACCTGTTCTCCAATGGAGCAGCTCAGAGGCTGCGTCAAGAGCAATGTTATATTTGAGCTATTTTTAGATTTAAAATTGTGTTAAAGCCTGTCGTTCTATGTCTGCATTTTAATACTACTCTCTATAAACACATCTGCACTAATTCCTACAGATGTGGAAAACAGAAACATCTAAAATCTGACTCCATTTGATTCCTTTTTACTTTAGTTATTAGAACAATTTGACCTTATTGATACTTATTTCCACAATAGAACTATTTTGATTATTCACTAGTCTAACTATTATTACTATTGTTTATTCTGACACTTCAACCTATAGCTCCTCGAATCCAATGACATTATAGCTCCAGACTATTTCATTCTATTCTATTATTGTATGATCTATTATCTTAAAGAGTAGATCTGTTTGATGTTATAAGCGCTATTATTTCTCCTTTTGAATTTGCACAACACTAAATTTAGAATGACCCCCTATGGGACAAATATAGAATTTTATTTCATTTTGGCAACTCCGAAAATTACTTAATAATTTTCCCATTTTGCTTTTTGACCATGACCACCTATGACAATACAATACTCCCCTCTGTTGGTCGTGGTCCAAAGTATAAAACATGCATCTGTATGTGTGTGTAGATTACTGTTCCAATCCTGTTGCTCCTCCCGGATCGTCCTCAATTCATATTGTGGGCTTTGGTGCCAAAGTAGAGGCTCATTTTCCTCATGATCCATACTACCGTGGTATCCCTGAAGCAGGTGCAGTTTATCTTTCATCTGAAAAACAAACATTAGAACACAAGAAACGCCCACTTTCCTCTCTTCGCATTGTGCAGCCTGTCAATCAATCCAATTGGGCAAAACATAACTACATTGACAGACGGTGTGTGGCATCAGGGCAGAGGCTGTAGCCAAATACAGACTTAACAATATGTATGTTTCTAATTTTATACTCCCCTAAATGTGAATTACAAACCAAAGGTGTCCTCCGCCCAACGACAGCTCACTGCGGTTGGACCGAATCCCTGTCCGGGCATACAGCAGAGGGGGGGACTCCCAATACCTTCAGCGAGGTATTTCATCTCAGAGTACTTTCTCAGAGT